AGAAGCTCGCTCCATTAATGCTGACACATGCAAAAGAAATGAAAAGCATTAACTCAGCTGAGCCACTTGATTCTGCAGCTGCAGAACAATTCACTTGTAACTCAGATGGGGCTTTTCCACCCAGATGAACTGCTAATTTGTTAATTGATACAAAAATTATTTTCAAATATTAAATAAACTGCAAATAAAGCAAAAAAAAAAGAACACACCAAATTATAAGGATGCATGGAAGCTATACAGTTTAGTTTTGCATTTCTAGGTAGTAAAGCACTAGTAAACACGTTTTCACATTGAGCATCTCCTCCTAGCTGCATACAACAGATGGCAGGTATATATGAATTCTTCAATTACATTTTGTTCCAATTAAAATGCTCACTTTTGTATTTTAACATAAAATCAGTTGCCTTTTAACAAATTCAGGCAAGAGATTCATCTTTAGAAATATATTTGCTCTCTATTTGGTTTTCATGTTTATATATCTAAAGACTTCTATTAATGCCAGGTGTTACGTATATATTGTTTAAAAACATTTTGAAATCTACTTTCAATAACAGGATGGTGAAGTCAGATGTAGTCCCGTGACACATGGATATAAGTATTGAATAGTTGCTAAAACTCAAACAGGAATGTTTAGCTTACATTGGGCCTCTCTGTTTGGAAAAGTTCTCTTTTCTTCACAGAATGTAAGATGAAGTTTTTATTCCCAGCTCCCATCCTTCATTTTCCAACATTTGCTCCTTTTTCCTCCTCAAATTTAAGTGAAACCAAGCTAAACATTATCGCCATTTGGACGCTATGGAAATCCAATCCAGATCAATAAACAAAAGCACCTTCCTTAGATGGACTCCCTCAGTGCTGAAGGGATGGGGTAGGGCTGTGAAATGTTGGCCATTTAACAAGATATCACAGGGAGAACAAACATTCCAAGGAGGCAATTTTCAAAGCCCGATATAACTACTATATTAACTTATGCATGCAAGTAGTATAATTGTCCTTTTTTCTTTAAGTGATTTTTAGAAAAAGTGGTTTAAAATAACTCAAGTAACAGTAGGATTTTAAAAATTATTTTTGTTGTTGTTTTTGCTTTTTTATTGGACAGATGATACTTAAATAATTAACAATTGCATTTTTTTTGTGTGTAACTTTGGGATTTCAAATCATTTTCCAGACATTAATTGCAATGAGCTTCCCAATGAAGCTGATATTATTATACCTATTTTCCACCATGATAAGCAAGGAGCACAGGGCCCATTGCCTGCCTTGCCCCATGCCCAGCAGAGCTTGTTCATGCTCAGATCTCTCTTAAAAACCATTGGATCAGCTCCATGGGAGCACAGAAGGAAATGAGCAATGGGCTCTAGGAGATTGAAGAGATTTTGTAAGGTCATGAACAGTTGAGTGCAGCTAAAGTCAAAGCTGAAAATCGAAGTTACATATTCAGTGGGTAGACACATTTCCTCATTAAGATAATTCAGGCAAGATATCATCTCACGGTGATATGCTGTTAAGACATGGAATCTGTTGCTGCACATTTCTGAGTAACTTATTTCATAACAAAAATTTCTCCCTTTGATTTGAATAAAAATAAATGACTGGATTTTTCCCAGACAGCATGTGTAGGAGAGCAGCAGGCCCAGGAAAGAGCTCCCACATTGACTTTTAAAACTGTGAAAGAGATGCTAACAGCCTCATTTACAGGACAGACTGGATTCGGCTCCTCTACCTGGCGGTGTCATAAAGGACAGCCACGCACAGAAGGTGAAATGAGGAGTTAAAAGTCACAGCAAACACGCTGCACAGACCATGGGCCTCGCACCCTTTCTTCTTTAATTGGGAGGAGAAGGGCTTCTGCTAGAGTGAATTCTACAATGTAGGCCGGTAGCCCAACTGGGAAGTACCCTTGATTTGAACACTTTGCAGCAGGTCTATTCTGAACTCTTTATACAGATCCTCTTTTAATACCAGGACACATATTTTAAGGTAAAAAGGGTATTTGACTAATTTTGACTGCAAGCGATAGTTGGAGTTGGTAATCATCTGATTCCGTTCCCACTGGCACTGCAGGAATGAGGGTGCTTTCACAGCTGGTTGTCAGCCCAGTTCTTATTACCAACACCAATTATTGGTTTTTAAAAGACCTGCAGAATTAGTACCGCACTGCTACATCTCTTCACAGACATTATGTGTTATAAAAATGTTACAAAAATATGAAATCTGAGTCTCGCCTTTCTATCCTCATGGAGCTTGCTTGGTCTTTATGTATGGCATGAAACCATCACAGACAAGCAAACCAGGTATCTAGAAAGAAAGAAAGAAAGAAAGAAAGAAAGAAAGAAAGAAAGAAAGAAAGGAAGGAAGGAAGGAAGGAAGGAAGGAATGAAGGAAGGAAGGAAGGAAGGAAGAAAGAAAGGAAGAAAGAGAAAAAGAGAGAGAGAAAGACAGACAGTCAGAGAGAGAGAGAGAGAAAGAAAGAAAGAAAGAAAGAAAGAAAGAAAGAAAGAAAGAAAGAAAGAAAGAAAGAAAGAAAGAAAGAAAGAAAGAAAGAAAGAAACTTCTGGAACTTATGGGCTAATTTAGAAGCAAAGACTGACTTTCTGATCGCTCTGTCATGTATCATATTATGAAGAAGGAAACGTTGAGGAGTGACTGGAGGATGGAAGAACACAAGTGGAGAGTGGGGGTTTCTACCCTCAGTCCCTATCTGCATTTCATGCTCCTCCTATCCGTGCCTGAACCCATCAGAAACGCCACCTGCCCCTCTTCTCTCTAGGGTGCCTACTTTTGAAGAGGCCTTCACCTCAAATTGGACTTTTGGCTTTGAGAGTTCCCAGTGATGGTTAATTTTAAGAAGCATTTCAAAGGAAACTATTCAGACTTTAGCCACTCTAGTCATTTATATAGTCGTCAAGTAATGAGTAGCTAAGAGAACACTGGTCTTTAATCATAGATTATTTATGTAGTGTAGTACTTTATCACATAGACGGCCTCAACAGCAGAGATGTCCTGCCTGCCTCACAGCTCTAAAAAGCCAGAAGTCTGAGGCCAACGTGCCCAGAGTGTTGGCTTATTATGAGAGCTGCCGGTGAAATCTTTCTCTTCTCTAGCCTCCGATACTTTCCTGGCAGTTTGGGCATTACCAAGGGGAACAAGGAGTACAAACTGAGCAAGCAGGCCAGAGACCCAAAGCAGTGGCTCCAAGAATGTCCTTGCCGATAGACAACCAGGAAGGCTGAAAGAGAATAGTGGTTTGGGGTTCCTTATCTTGCTGCCTATGAGAATAGGGTGGATGCTGAGAAGATGGGAGCGCCTCCAGTTTGGGCCAATTGGACTGATGAGCTGATTCTCGTTGCCTGCCATGCCTCAGCTTGGGCTCCGCTGTGAGTCTCACTGAAGTCCCTCAGACTTGAGTGTGTTGCACCGTTTCCCAGGTGCCACAGGAGGCTTTGCCTTCCGACTTCCTGCTTAGCTTCTGCCTATGGATCTATAGTAAACCTCTTTTTGAGACTCACCATCTGTGGTCTCCAAATTTCATTTTTTGAATTCAGGGGACAAAAACCTGAAGCCACTAAGAGTAAAATTTTATTTGACCTTGAGCATCTGCTACTGTAACTCCCGAGTTACAGCCCATCTAAAAGCCAGAGGAACGGGCTTTTCAAACTCAAGCACACAATAAGTATCCAGGATCATGAGCTGACTAGCTGCCTGTCCGGTTATCTGCTTTCACTTTCACATAATAATTATCTTTGTTTGTTTATCTGTGTCCAACTTTCTCCTTTTCAAAAGAACACAGTTGTACTGGATTGGAAGCCCCTCTAATTTTACATTACAGGCAGGGACTAGGAATTGTGGCTTTATATAATCACAAACCATAAAAGAAATATATAAATAAAAGGATTGTTTGATTGGGAATGGATCCGATTCACATGACAAGTATTCTGTTACGTATCTTTGTGTATAGTGCTTGTTACTGACAACTCATTTATTATTAACAAATCCACAATTTTATTGCCCTCTATATAGATGGCTTTAGGCAACTAAGTCAGGTATTGGTAAATGAAATATTTGCATTTCATTTGGATGCTAGAATCAAGTTCATTTAGTCCACTATTAATAAAGGCAAAATAAATAGCTAAAGTGTGACTCACCCATACTCTGAGATGTGTTCCAATGATACAAAGTAACCAACACTTTTGAGAAGGCCCCAAGTAAATACCATTACTAACGTACTGGGATTCAGATACTGAAGATAAATAAGAATCATATTTTTGTCTTCAAATAATTTAAGGAGAAAATTAGGAGAAAGGAACACACATGAAAGAAAGACAGGAGACTGTCCAGCTACCAGCCTCATAACAGTGGAGAAAGATTTCAGAGAAAGTGAGGATTTGTCTTTGTAACAGAGAAATGTATACCAAACTGTACCATCCACCTAACTGTAGGTCCACCCAGGTAGCAGCACAAGGTAAACAATAGACTTCATACGACTAAGTGTTCAAAACTATTCATTAAAACTTAAAAGTTGACCATTAAAATGTATTCTAATGGTTTACCCAACCAAATATAACTTTAGGGCACCAAATTACTAAATATACATTCATGATTTAAGAATTATTTTATGTGTGGAATCAGAAAAAAATGAAAATGGTGGAATGTGAACTGCATTTATTGTATGTCTGTGATCCTGGCATTCACAAGGCAGAAGCTGAAGGAACACCAAAAATTCAAAGCCAGTAAGACTCCAGTTGTTGTCCGTGTTTAAATCTGTGCTGATTGGCTGATCATGCTTACATGCATAATAAAAGTCTATGAAGCATCCATTCATAAGTCATTTTAAAATTTATTTTTTAAAACTGACTGAAAAGAAACAAGGCACTGTTTATCTGAAAATTTAAATTTCGAGTATATCTCAGATTTTAACCAAATTAAATCTATAGACACTTAAGCTGCATACGTGATGCCAGATTATAAGGTCAAATTTGATATGTGGTGTTTCTTTCAAGTGGTAAAGGTACTTATCCGGAGCTGATGATGATAATGTTAGCACGCACTGACTTCACAAAGAAAACAGCACCTCATCTTCTCTGGGTTACCTGACTTCCAAGGTAGAGTTTCAATAATATTCTTAAAAATTCATAAAGTCAATAAAAACTAAAACTGAATGTATATACATAACATGCAGTTTTTATTTAACTTTCAAAAACATCATCAGTTTTATCACCCATCCATAATTTCTACATTTGGAGTACTGAAAACATTCAGATATTTACTTCCACCCTCCACCCACATCTCTATCTATCTATCTATCTATCTATCTATCTATCTATCTATCTATCTATCTATCTCTATCTCTCTGCTTCTTTCTTTCTTTCCTTCTCCCTTCTCCCTTCCTTCCTTCTTTTTGTTTTATTTTTGAGTATTGGTATAGTTACAAACACACATATAAGAGTGTGGGTGAGTCACACTTTACCCGTTTATTTAGCCCTTATTAATAGTGGATTAAATGAACTTGATTCTAACATCCATACAAAATGTAAATGTTTCATATACCAACACCTGACTCAATTGCCTAAAAGCCACCCATGTAGAGGGCAATCAAAGTGTTAGTACAGTCTTCCTGATGTACTTTTATTCTGGCCTCAATGGTTTGAAGGAAAAAAAGACAACTAAGCTTAGAGGTCTGATCTTTTAAAATATTAAGAGGAGACTACACGTACATGTCAATGAGAAACCATAAAAACATAACCAATTTTTATTACCAACTGCCATGATTCGATATCAACAGCCACCGACAGACGCAAGTCCGTGTGTCATGTTTTGATGCTGTATTAACACAGTAATGTACAGATACTATATGTACAGGAGATACTGTAACTACTAATAAGAACTTATCATGCACTTAGTTATTATCTCATCATTACCCTGGCAACAGACAATAATGAAACACTAAATATTGAGAAATAAAAGATCTGATCATCCATTTTGGTTCACCATTAATTTGGCCATATTAAATAGAAGACTATTAATAATTGTAGTTTGTAATCAAAGTAGATTGTGTGGTTCTGCAATTTCTGGGCTGTGCTAGCAATTTACCACACTGTTAGGACTTTGCAAACTTCCTGTCCCATCTAGAAACACTGTAAAATTATAGACTGTAGGCAATGGATAGAGCTTATAAGGCTCTAACTCCCAGAAAGGAGCTGTTTAAACTATTCAATTATTACTGCAAAATGTTATTGTTTCAATAATGAGCATGTTGACAATTTAAATTGACAGTCCCTGTCACAATTTATCAAAGGCAGATTAGCATAATTAAGGTCACCAAAAGGAAACTATTAAAACATAAGTGTTTCAGTTCTTCTGATCTGGCATTTTACAATATATCACTTTGGTGCTTCTTAATTAAGTGTGATATCTTCCTGCAGCCTGCATCTCCAGTACACCCAGTCCCCACCCCATGTTCCTTTTGATTTACAGAGTAGGATGTAAAGCTGGACTGAATTATCTTCAGAGAAAGTCAACACCAGCCTGTAGTTCTGAGGTGCTTGCAGAAGTGATGTCACTAGACAGTGCAAAGAGGGTATCTGGGAACGAGAAACTCATTTCCCCAAATCACTGTATTTCACTGCTTTATAAAATTTCATAATCTACATGTGCCCATCATCTTTTCTAAATTTGTCATTAATCTTCTTATGCTGAGTTTTCCTTAAAATATCTAAAGAAGTTATTTAGTATAAGACAGTCCTATGACTTATGTAAATGTAGAGGATGCAAATACAGAATGGTGGAACATTTAATTTTTACTTTAAAATTGTTTTAAAATAATTGTATATTCACATGAAATTAAAAGAAATATAGAGATACAGATACAGTTACCCAACTCTTTTGCATGTGTGCTTGTGTTCATGTGTATGTAAGTGTGCAACTATACATACGTGCATGCGTGGGTATTGCTGGGGAGTGAGCCGAAGTGTATATGTATTTATGTGTATGGTTGTATAAATATGCATGTGTGTGGTGCTAGAGCATGAGTTTGTGTATGCATTTGTGGTGTGTGTATAACATGCTCATGTGTGGCATGATGTAAACACACCCTAATATATGCATGCCTGTGTGTTCCCCTTGTGCTTGGTGCTGAAGGATGACCTTCAGGCTTCACGCTAACTGAGCACTTGTTCTACTAAGGCAGATGCCGCCACTGGAAAACTCGAGCATAACAAGAACCCTCCCACTCGTATTCAGCTTCTCATAGGTTCACACAGACACTTTTCGCAGGGGTGGGGAATATTCGTATCCATATCCACCAGAGTTGAAATAACGTCTTTTGCAAAACCACATGGTTTTTACTGTAACTTCTGCATCCCAATTGAAATCCAAACAAGTTTTTAAAAACAGTCAACTCAGTCAAAACCCACTACTTGAGAATTAACAGCTTTTTTGAAGCCACAGTAACACTCAAATATGGTTTAAATTCGAGTGCAGAAATTTGGTTGGTTGGAAGGCTAATTAAGCCTCCAACTTGCTCAAATAGAACTGAAAAGGTAAAACTGTGTTTTTCACAGTGATGCAGTGCATTGGAATGACCAACAGTGGACAGCTGTTAATATTTAGAGTCCTGAGATAATAGGAAATCCAGACATCCTTAGACCATCTTCTGTTGACCTTTTTTCCCAATCAGAAATTTGTGGATGCGTGGAATGACACCATCTGCCTCAATTGGAGCCTTAATCAGTGAGTCCAATTCTTCATCTCAGGAACAGCAGGTTGCAAGTGAAGAGGTATGGTAATACGCTTTAACTTCGAAGTCTTTTAACGCTTTTCCTGCCAGCTCAACTCACCTCTGCAGAGATACTACCGGATGGCTGCACTATATACACAGTGGCAGTATCGCCCGCATGCCTGTGGCTGGTTGTCCTAGATTTCGGGTGTCGATGAATATGGGCCAAAGGGACCTGAAAACCAGCTCGCTGCGAATGCCTTTGTCTTAACCTCTCTGGAGTCTGCCAGCCTGACCAGCAGCCATCTCAGACTCTGCCGAAGCCTAGACAGGCAAAGAAGAGAGACAAGGCCTCGCAGACTCAAAGCGCGATCCCAGGGCCCCCTCCTCTATCGCATTGAGATTCCAATTACATATATAGACATTTGTGTTTATATGTTTTTAATTCTGTGTATTTTTGCTAAAACTTAATATGTACTAATTTTCTTAAATTTCAAGCTTATATTAATAGATATGAAAAAATGATATAGTTCATTTTATAAATACAAAGAATAATACAGAAACATGTTTTCTTTATCAATAAATATATTTCATTTTTAGATTCAGTTAAACATTACTTTTAATTAGTTGGTAAATTGGCAATTGGTCCCTAAAATGGAGACAATTTAAAAAACAGTATTGGTCTTTTTTTTTTCTTATGAATTCACACCATAGTTTTTAATCAGGGGTTCCAAAGAGGTTAAAAAATAGGAATTCATCCTCAGTATTCAGAGCATCAGCTCATTAGGAGTAATAGCCCAGTCTTCCAGCTTTAAATGTGTGAGGATCACACTTTCAGATTTCTTTTATCTCAGCTGCTTCTACTTCAACAAATACAAGTGCTTCTGATATAATAAGACTAATGAGCATTGCAGATGATTACAAAAACATTATACTCCTTCCTAAGGCATAATGACATTTCCCCCAAATTAAAGAAATCAAGGAAGTTTCCCTTATTAGAACCTTTATTTCATGACTATGACCCAGGCTGAAATAAAAACCTCAACTTTTGAACAAACCTAAAATACTTTCTGAGTAGGACTTCTGAACATACATAGGAAGTTTTATTAACTTTAGCAAGGACTCTGTATGTGCTAGTAGAATGTATCTTAAATAAAATGTGCCAAGATGGGTCACTTGAAATCTTCGCCTCATGGCTTAGATGTTGGCATTTTGCTGATCAGTGTGCCATGTACTCTGGGATACTTTTCTCTGTAAGTCTAGCTTTCCGATGGTAAGTTAGGTGCTCTTTATAAAGGGCGATTTTCTAATAAGTCTCCGACTTACTCCCCAAACAGAGTTCTGACGCTCCTTCACCAGCCACATTTTTGACAGAGCAGGGAGGCAATGCTTCAGCTTGTTCAAAATAGATGCTGTGCTGTGTGCACTGAAATGGTGGCAGATCAGAAAAAACACACAACCAGTGCACTCCAGCACAGTTACAGAAAGAAAAACAAAGCCCAGAATCTGACCCACAAGATGAGACATCTGCAAACCACTACAGCAAATTATGTAATGGACGGCATCTCCAGGGGACCCTAGTGTAATTCAGATCTGGTTTTTTGGCTCTTTTTCATTCTGAGTTTGAAGACAGATTATTTTACAAGGTTCATCAGCCTTCAGGGAATAACAATTTCCTCTCCTCTCCACAACAACCCAAACGTAACTTTTAAACTGTTTATCTTTGATCTAAAATATATTACTTAGCGCGCTAAGTAAATAGCCCAACAATTTGTCATAGAAATTATTGCTTCCTGTGGTTATTTTTAGTGGGCCTGTGTGCTTTTTAACATTTGCTAGGCAATTGGTAATGAGAGCTGATAACCCAGCCATTTGCTTTTTATTTTTGTAATGATCTCAGAAAAGCATTTGAAATATGATCTACTCTTTAGTGTAATGGATAAACTACTACAGTGCCAGGAATTAAACCCAACTTCCTCACTCAACAGTCATGGGAACTCAAGAAACAGCCACAACCCACACACATAATGCAGGAAATTATACAGAACACATCCATTACATTTCTGTGGTTGATGTGGTTACCAAGAAAGGCTACTTGAGCTCTACTAAAGCACTAAAAATATTAAACAAATATCATGCAAAGTGTGGAACTGTGATACAATGGAGGACTCAATTGCAAGGTTCGTTGTTTTCTAAAAGAGTTTGACAACCATCAGTTAAAAATGAATTTTATTTCTAGAGATATATTTATAGAGAGAAAGGCATGCAGGAGCTGAAGAGATGGCTCAGCAGGTAGGAGCTCTTCCAAAGGACCCTGGTTTGAATACCAGCACCCACACAGCAGCTCACATTTGACTGTAACCCCAGCTCCATGGTCCAGCA